TGGAGACTTTCTGTTCCTTACATGCCCTCAAGGCATCTTTTTTATTGTCCTGATATAAAGTACTTGGCTTCCTTTTAATGCTAATCTTTTTAGCTAGAACTCTTTTTCAAAACTTTACAGGAGGTTCCTTTCTGGGGAAACTGAAAACTTTAAAAGTTATTCAGCTGTGCCATTTGCTCAATTCCCAATGCAGAGCTGTCTAAAAGCCAGCAACAGTACCCACTCCACAACCTGAACACTGGGCTGCCTTGAAATTTCTTCCACCATGTCAATTAATCTGCTGCCCATAATCTCAGTCTCATACAAAGTCTCAGAAAATAAGCAAAATGTAGACAATTTTCTGCCACAGCATAACACACATGGTCTCAAATCAAACTACCAATGGAGTTTCTGCTCTCAACTAAAACCTCCCGAACCTGGCCTTTACTGTCTGCATTTCTATCAGCATTCTGGTCTTCTGAGCTCTGACCACAATCTTCCATCAAGCTTGTCTTACAGCATTTTAAGGATTCCCTAGCTGATATCTCCAAACCTCTCCAACTCTGCCCAGAAACTAATTTCAAAGATTTAAATCAAATGGTTAGATACCATTTTCTGGTACTGAGATAGGAGATTAGTGTGTGACAAAGCTGGCTGGGAAGTAGGCATGACCTGTTAAATATAAGATCCCAGAACCACTGCACAAAACAATTCCCAAGGCCCTGTACCTGGACTTCTCTCAAGAACTTGAGCAAGTTTTCAATAGAATAGCCTAGACCTGATGTCAGCCTGAGATATGGGATCCTAGCACCACTTCTCAGGACCTGTATGTAATTCTGGTGCTTTTTTTTTTCTTTCCTGGAGAAAAGTGAAATGGCACCACCTCCTCTGAATGGCAGGATGGCCATGAACAGCCAGGGGGCTGGAGGTTTTAGGTGTCTCCTAAATCATAACTGGGTAGCTGAGATCACTTGGTCGGAAAGCAAGGTGTGGCTCTGTTGAGGGTGCAGAAGCAATGCTCATCATCTCCAAGAATGTGTAACTCAGGCCCAGAGCTTTGTGACAACTCCTAACTCATCTTTGGCACCTTGAGGCTTTTTCCCTAGGGGGATGGGCTCGTCCTTATTGCTGTGCTCACTGTGAACCCTGGGGATTTCCCTCCCTTAATTTGCCTCCTTGAACCTGTCTGGCTCTTGGCACAGTGTTTGTCGACAATCTGGAAGAGAGAGATGATTGAACACATGCAGCCCTACTCCTGGTTCTTCAAAAAGCAGATAAATTAATTACACTCTTGTGAGTTTAAGCAGTAGCAAGAAGGAGAGGTAAATGGCATGAACTGAACCTCAGAGGACTGGGAGTGAGAAAACTGAATCTGCACATAGATTAGATTAAATTGAAGGCTGGAAAACAAAGAGTTTCTGTTGGAAAGTCACAGAATACGTGACCTTTCTAAAGCCAGGAGCCCAGCATGGGGAAGTCTGAGGAAGGAAGATCACCACAAGTTTGAGGCCAGCCTGAGCTACATAATCAGTTCAAGACTACCCTGAACTACATGGGGAGACACTGTCTCAAAGAAAAAAAAAAGTTATAAACTCACCTTGTCCAGTTATTGTCATAACAACACCATGAAAGGGAGTGGCTCACAGGACTTTGGCTTACAACAGGTTCCCTTTGAGAAGTTGAGGGTCAAGGATTTTATTTTAATCTTGTGACTCCTCAAGAGTGCTGCCTATAGCGATACGTGGGTAGATGGAGGAAGTGCTATTCTAGGTGCCTACATGTGTACAGTTTTTAATCGCCCTTCAAATCTCCTTATAACTAAGGAAGAGGAAGAATTAAAATAAGCAGGTAATGCCCAGAAAGCAGACCTGGAACTGACAAGACAGAGCACAAAGTGAGGTCTTTGGGGAGAGTTCTGTCCATGGAATTTCGCACCTGCTTTGGAAGTGTATTAAAACATCAACAGTACTGTGTGGTTCTCCATCATTAGCATCCAAGTATGGTTGGCCCTTTGTATCTACAGTTTTCACATTCACCACTTCAACCAAATGAGGATCAAAAACATCAGAGAAAAATCTATGTACTAAACACATACACCTTTTTCCTTATTATTCCCTATATAATGGAATATAATTATTTCCATAACACTTACATTATATTAGGTACTAGAGATCTAGAGATGATTTTAATCTAGAGATGATTTTAAGTATATAGTAGGATACACATAGGTTGTATGCCAATATGATCCCATTTTATAGAGGGACTTTCAGCATCCACAAATTTCCATGCCTACAAAAGCCCTGGAAGTAAGGAAGATTGCACCAGCATTGGGTATATAATGGTTGAGAGTGAAGGCCTAATTTAGAATCTTCAAAACCTGCAGTAAGAATAATGTAAAATACAGGTTCTCTGACCCAGGCACACAATTCTGACTCAGTTTGTTGGAGCTGGGATCTAAGAGTCTGCACCATTAACAAATAGCCCATGCGACTTGGAGCCAGCAGCTCCTGGATTGTTCTGGTTGTTTTGTAAAAACTAATGCTGGTCTTTTGGAAAGTTAGCATGTAATCCAATTAGGGACTTGGCAACGAAATACAAACATAATGGAGTTTTCTCTTGCCACCTTTTGTTTGTTATCGTTGATGCTGTTTTGCTACACTCCTGAATTCACTTTGGAATTTTTCAGCCTCTATTCTGAGGGCCTCTGAGCTCTAGCCACGACACCATCTACAACAGGTCAACAGTTAGGCGTCTGTAATTGGAGTTTCCACCAGGTGCTGAGGCTGTGCACCAGACAATAGCAAAACAGAGCCTTGACATTGTTTGCTGAGATCTGTAGAATTCTCAACAAGGATGGGAATGCAGTGTGCATAGCACACTATTTTCCCCATGGATTCTGAAACTTAGAGCCCTGTATAAACAGGACCTTGGTAGGTCGTGGGTTGCAGCAGCCCACAAGTCATTCACCACTATGTAAATAACCCTCAATGAATTCACTTACTTGCATAAAAAAGAGCAGAAATGACAAGTGTTGGTGAACATGTGGAGAAATTAGAACACCTGTGTACTGTTATGGAAATGTAAAACGATACAACCCCTACAGCAGTCAATATGGTGGCTCCTCAAACAATTAAAATACAATTCTACTTCTGGATAAATACCCAGAAGAACTGAAAGTAGGAGGGCCAGGGATTTAGCTCAGTGGTGCCACCACCTGCCTCGAAAGCACTAGGTCCTGAGTTTGATCCCCAGTACCAAAAAAAAAAAAAAAGAACTGAAAGTAGGGCTGCAAATTATCTGCAATAACCAAGATGGGAAAGCAATCCAGTCCCCATCAATAGATGAATGGGTAGAAAAAAGTAACATATACACACAATACAATAGCATTCAGCCTTAAAAAGGGAGGAGTTAAATGAAAGTAGCCAGACAAAAAAGGACAACATTGTATGGCTTTGCTTAGATGAAGCTCCTGAAGTAGTCAAATCATAAAGATGGAAAGTGGAACTGTGGCCTCCAGGAGCTAAGAGAAGGGAAGGTTTCTGCTTAATGGGTGCAGGGTTTGAGTCTGGGATGATGAAAACGTTCTGGGGATGAACAAAGGTGACGGGTGCACAACAATGGAATGTAGTCATTGTCACTGAACTGTACACTTAAAAATGGCTAAAACGCCAACTTTTATGCTTTATCTCATCACCTTAAAAGTTAACAATAACAAATGTGGTAAATAAGTAAAATAATAATGATAAATAAAAATTTTAGCAAAAGACTGAAACATACCATGAGTTTGTACTGATACTGCGAAAATGAAAGTCATGGACCATGTTAAGAGTTTTCAAGGACATCACTTAAAGAAAAAAGCAAAATATTACAATGAACTGCCTAATGATACTGTTTTATGTATATTTACAGCTTCTGTGTGACCAAAGGGGATTTGCTCATCTCTGAGTGTGCAGTTTCAATGTATTTTCCTGTCATGTGAACTTTGCCCTCTATGATGATTCTGAAGCTAACCTTCTCTAATCTTGCTTTTTCTACAATTTCTTAGGAATGAAATTATTCTAATCTAATCTTTTATCGAATCGAATCTAATCTTCTTTTTTATTTCATTCATGTCACATTTTGCTGGTTATTCCTTCATGTAAGAATATTTCCCTTCCTTTTATTGTTGAGTATTATTCTTATCACAATTGCTTACCCATTCCCTACCACTTTTTCTGTGTCTGCTGAGACATTTTTTCCTTTATCTAATTTATGTGGTGAATCATATTGGTTGATTTTCAGATATTACACCAACGCTGCATTTTGAGGATAAATTCCATGTATTATCTTTTTAAGAAGTGTGGTATTTGATTTACTAAACTCTGTTCACCACTTTTGTGTCTACGTTTACGAGGTCTTGCGCTACGTTTCAGGTCTTTCGCTGGTTTCGGTATCAGGGTAAAACTGGCCTTATAAAAGAAACTCAGACGTGTTTTTTGCAATACAGAACTTTGAAAACCATTAAATTATGCATCATTTAAATATATATTTGAAATATAAAATAAACTGTTCTTGTTCATTTCCCCCTATTTTCCAAAAGAAATGTACTCTATTCATTTCACACCTCGCTTAAAGGTGAGATTTTAGAACATTAGAGCTAGACAATTTTAGGGACTGCTGTCACCAGGTTTTTCGAGGAGAAAACCGAGACCCTTAGCGACTGCCATACTCTTTGCAGAAGAGAGTACCTTCCTTCCTTCAGAGACCTCCAGCATCCAACACACGGGATTTTACGGGTAATTGTCCACTCTTACTCATTTTCCTTCCCGTGAAGGTAGATACACACTTGTCTGACGGAGGTCATTCCAAAAAGAAGCAGTAAAACAATGCAACTCCAGGAGCGCGCGGCCCAAGGCGCCCGTGGAACTGAGCATGCTCAGTCGCCGGGCAGATTTCTCAGCGAAGTGGAAACTCCAGCGGCGCGTCCCGGGGCGTTCGGTGGTGGGCGTGCCCTCGCGGAATTTAGAAGGCCGCCTCAGCCAATGGAGCTTCGCAATTGGCAGGCGGGGCTCCTGATTGGAGGCCGCG